ATCCGTTGCCGGACATGGAAAAAGACAAAAGACAAAAAAAAAAAAAATTGAAAACCCGATTTCCGTCAAGAGAGGAACCTATAAAGAAGTGATATAATATGAATAAACTAGATATATCAACATGAATAAATCTCGAAAATGTAATGTTGACTAAAAAGAGCAGCTGGCGAGGGACAAGTATGATACCACTTAAGAAATTTTTTTTAAAGATCCAAATAACAATATATATTTCAGAAATGTTTACATGTGAAATAATGTTATAAGAGCATGATTGGAAGGGATAACTACAAACTCTGGATAGGAGTTAACACTGAGGAGAAAGGCAGAGGAATGGCATAGACTATGGGGTTTTCATAAAATGTATACCTTTTAACTAATTCAAAAAAAGGTTTGTGAAATAAGTAACATCTGTTAAACATTAGTTTTGGATACAAAGGAAGGCCACAATAAAAAAAAACCATTTATTATAAATAAATATTATTATTATATCTATTAATAAATGTTATATTTATTATATGCAAATACAATTATTGTGGCCTTCTCCATAACTTTCTGTATGTTTAAAAATTCAAAATTGTGTGTGCTAATGGAATCAGACATTGGGTCTGACTTTTTTTCACTTGTTATCCTGTTTATAAGATTCACCCATATTCACTGCACATTATTATTGTATATATTATTATGTTTTCATTATTCTCATTGCTCTATGTATGAATTTATCCATTTTTTTCTCCAGTCAAATATTGGAATGTTTCTAATTTCTGGCTATTATAAAGTGTACTGCCATAAACATTCTTATAAATATTATTGGTACTTTTGTTAGGTGACAGGTTGTGTATGCATTCAACTTTAGTCAATACTATCACATTGTTTACCAAAGTTGTTGTACCACGTTACATTTCCAAATAGTAGTAAATGAGAAGTACACTTAGTCTTTATCCTTGTCAACATTTGTCATTGTCTTTTTCGTGTTAGCAGTTCTAGTGTTGTGAAATAGTATTGCACTGTGGTTTTAATTTGCCTTTCTCCAATGACTAATGAAATTGAGCACCAATTTATATGTGCATTGGTCCTTGGATATGCTCTTTCTTGAACTGCCAGTTCAAGTTTTGACCCATTTTTCTACTGGATTATTCACCTTTTCTTCATTGATTTGTAGGTGTTACTTATATGTTCTAGATTATTTATGCAATGTTCTCGAGCAGGCAAAACTTATCTTTGGCATTACAAATAAAGACAGGAATTACTCTTGTTGGCACTAAGGCAATTCTGTGGCTCTGGTAATGTTCTGATTTTAAATATGAGTGCTGTCTTCATGAGCATAGCCATTTTATGAAAATTCGCTGATCTGAGTTTTACACCTTACTTTCTGTATTCTAGCTTTCAGTAATGCTCATATTTAAAAGAGAAAGAGAAAGAACAGATCTTAAAGTAGATAACGTTGTCTAACAGTTTCCCATTTGTTTATTTTTAATTCTTCATACTTACAGTAAGCAATGTTTTTTTTTTATTTATGATAGTGACGTGACTTCCTTTTTAAATAAATTTACTTGCACACACACATGCACATCCCTCATGCACAAAGTAATTGACCTGATCTGAAGGGGTCATTGCAATCTTGAGCCTAGGAAGAGGACACGTTCTCCAGAGTATAGTACATACATGAACCTGCTCAAATGCCTCCATGTCAGCATGATAACAGAAAGGGCTGACTTCTCGGGGCATGACAGGAGTCAGCACCAATTGCCATGGTCTTGAGCCTGAATGCAGGCCCCTCTGCTAGCTGACCATCAGCAACTGAGATCACCCTTTTCAAGATTACCTTTTCGAGAATAAAATGGTGGTCTTTCCCATTTTATTAGATTTTCTGAAATCTTATATTCTGATATTCTGGTATGACCCAAGGATAAGAGAAAAAGTGATGAAAACTCACTCATAGTGAATTTATTGCTTATTCTCAGTGTGAGTTTTA